CACGGAGACAGTCACAAAGTCCCGTCCAATTTCAAAGGGGAAGGAAAGGGGACTCTACCTTGTCGTGGGAGAGTGACCAGTTTCTAGACAAGCACACAGGACTTGAAATGCTGCTGTGGCTGTTTTTCAGAAAATACGGTCTGCTGAAATCTGTGATCTGGTTGGAACCACATAAAAGTCACAAAAGTATTAGGGTTAAGACTGGGAAGAGACATGGAAGAATGAAAGCTTGATTAAAAAAAATCCTGTTATTGTTTTGACAATGTTCTTTGGGCAATATGTAAAAACTATTAATTAAATTATCTTAACAAGGAATGAAAATGACAAAGCTTCAGAAATTGTTCCCAGGGGCACCCCGGCTTCCCTTGGCTCCTCCGTTGCTGAAATTCCACTGTTCTCACTTGGAGTTGTCAGAGCTTAACCCACTGCATCAGCAATGCCCTTCTTTTCATGAGAAGTGGCCCTGAAGCAGATGCCCAAGCACCCAGTGGGCAGGAGCATCTCCCGTGCATCTTGCCGCCTCCATCCTTCATCACCAGACGTCTCCCCAGGTGGGCAGCCTCATCTACAGATGCCCCCTCTTCTTAGTTACTAAAGGAAAAAGCAGAGGGGACATGTCTTATGAATTACTAAACCCTCTTGTCCACCTGAGGACACCTGTGTCCTCACTTGCCTTCCTTCCTGGAGAGGGACGTCCCTTCTTCCTTCCCAGGTTCAGTCCCCCCACCTGGTCTCCTGATCACCCTTTGTCCTCCTCTCCACCTGCAGTCACCCAGGTCCTCCCACTACCGTTCACGCTACCTTCTCCCGTTGTCATCCGATGTGTTCTTACTGGTCTACTCCATGAACAAACTCCCCGAAGGAAACGCCTGCTCTGGCTGTTTCCATTTCCTCCCTCCCTCTCTCCTTAACCCCGGTGATTTACTGATGGCCTCCCTTCCCATCACTACTCTCACTTGGCCTCTTAATTGTCCTCTTGAGCTCCTAAGTGTCAGATCAAGGACCCTTTCTCCATCTTCTTCCTCCCTTCCTCTTGTGTTGTTAAGTTGCATTGTTCCCCATCGTCTTCCTAAACCCGTACTTCCAGGCTTCCCAGCATGCTCTCTCTAACCTCTCCCCCACATCTCTGGCCACCTCTTCTGCTCCTTCAGCCCTGTTTTTATTTCACTCACATCCCTTAGCTACGTCCAGTTATTCCCAGAGCGTCTGCTACTACTTCATCCTTCCTCCACAGAATTGGATGTTTAACTCACGCTGCATCTTGGGTGTGCAGGATGAAAAATGCAATTTTCAATGAGGCCTGTAACTAATGAAGTTTAATCAGGTGAGATAATCATAAGAGCCCTTTAGGTGTTCTCAGTCTTCCTTGGACTGAAATGCTCAGTCCTTCAGCAAACTGGCCTCTCTCTGCTGGGAGGAGAGGCCCTGGCCCTGGGTGTGCTGGCCCAGCCGCCAGTGGGGTCCCTTGCTCTCCAAGATGATGCCTTTTTCTGGCCTCAGATCTTGAGCCACTGCTGTCTTGCTTGAGGTCTGCTCATTCAGGACCTGGGGGAGGTCAGTAGATGACAGGCCCCCATCTCAACTATCCCTGACCTCAGAGTCCCTAGCCCCCCGCCTCATCCTACATCTCCCATCCACTTTTCCCTTCAATCTCCTGATCCAGAAGAGGGCAGGAGAGCATGCTTTTTTTTCTTTTCTAACCTGACTTATGTCATATTTACCCTCCTCCAGATTTCTACCTGAGCCTTAAAGACAGGGCAAGAGCCTCACTGTGGACAAGCCAGTGGGGAAAGAGGGAAATAAAGGAATTTGGTGACTCCTCTCTCAGTACTGTCCTGGCTTGAAGACTCCTGTCCCACCACAAAATCCTATTTTGAATGTCAAAAGTTGAATGTCAACTTGGCCTTTCTCTAGGCAACTCTTCTGTAACAAATTCTCGTCTCTTCCTGGACATATGTCTGCCTTAGGCCGACTGTGGGTAAAGGTCACAGACTCATGAAGACAAAGTAGAAGACCATTCACAATTTCAAATTATCTCTGCAGTTGTATTCCTGAATCTCTATGCCCATCTCAGCCCCACCGGCTTCTCTGAGTCCTAGTTTCCAGCGTCTCACTGCCTACTGGACGCCTGCAGACTCCTCTAAAGCCCAACTCATCATCTTCCCTCTTTTACCTGCTCTTCTCCCTGTGTCCCCAGAATCAGCGTTTAAGGGGAGGGAGGACAGTGGGACGGGGGTGGAAAGCAAGGAATTATGGATCTCCAGGACCAGGGGCTTTTCTAATTCCAAGAAGGCTTGGGAATCTGTGTTTTCAGCAAGTGAGCCGGATGACTCTGATTCTGATGGAAGTGGGGGCATGTGAGCCACATTTAGAAAGGAGCAGAGTGGGAAGCAACCTTCAAAGTTGTCCCCCCCCCCCAGCTCTACCCTTCCCTCCAGCTGCACTGGAACTTGTCCTGCAGGCCTGGGCTCACCCGTACCTGCCTGGTGCTCTGGGTTCAAATGGCCCCAGGCTGGGCTGCCCCCGGGCTGGGACCGGGCTTCGGTGAGTGCCCGTCCCTCACCCCCGTGCTGGCCCAGCGCCGCCTCCCACTGGCCTGCACGCGTCACATCACACTGTGCACCAAGTATTACAGCCCATCCTAGATGCGACCGCTCCCTCTGGTTTAGGACTTTCCTGAGGATGTTGTCTTCATCTTTGCATCTCCAGGGCCACCCTGGAGAAATAAATCAAATGCCCATGTAGAAAGTGTCCACTCCAACGTCCCAAGAGCAAAGCTGAATCTTGTCCTCCACTGTGGGTTTTCCTCTCTGCTCCTCATGTCAGGACCCACCCCCCCAGGCCCCATACCGAGGGAGGCATGGCTTTGTGGTCGGGGCAGTGTGCACTCCAGCCTCAGACTCCTGGCCTTGCTGGTACATCCTCGGGCCAGTTACCAGCTGCTCTATACCCCAGTTTCGCCATCTATAAAATGAAGACCATAATAATACCTACAATGAATACTGTGTCTTAATGTTATTATGAGGCAAGAGAACATGTCCAAGCAGCCCCAGTGCCGCCTGGCATGTGGTAAGCGCCACAAAAATGCTTTGCATGCCTCGGTCTGGATGGTTGGTGGCTGGAATGATGACTCCTGCACGCCCAGGGCACTGCACCAGCCCCAGGCCCTTCTCTGCCTGTCTCATGCCCTTCTGTGATAAGAGCAAGTTGTCAGCCACATCACCCCTCCGGGCAAAGTTTCCAACAGGGGTCTGTGGCAGAGGTGCGCCTCCCTGGCCGGACATGCCCTGTCTTGGTGACTGACTCATCGTCCCTCTGTCGGTAACGGCCTCCCCATCTCTCCACCTGTCTAAGACATGCCCGCCTTCGCTGGCCATGTTTTCTCCCAGCCCAGCCCAGCCCTCAGGAGCCCCTTCCTCTGGGTCTGGGATGCTCATGTCTGTGTTATTCACCTGGCAACTCTATGCAAAAAGATACCAAGACCCTGGAGATTAGCAGGTCGAGGACAAAAGCCAAGATGACCCTGGAAGATGGCATTGCAGGGATGGAGTAAGATCAAGACTTAGATGAGAATTTGCACTTAGATTTCGGGCAGACCCAGCTCTGAGGCAAGCGTTGGCATAGCTCTGCAGGGAGCTAGGTCATTCTATTGGAGAGTCAGGCCCTGCCTGATGAGGACTTTTGACCCAGAGGAAGCACATTTCTGTCAGGCCATTCTCATCTGTCCCACAGGCAGACCCTGCTCTGTCCTATGGGACCAAGACTGAAAGCAGAACTAGACGGCTCACACCAGCTGCTCATGGCCACAGCCTCCAGACGGTGGGTCTTCCCCGACCTCTTGGTTTCCGGAGTGGCTTGTCAGGGAACTTCTCCTTTGGGCTTCTGTCTTTTTCTTTCACTGTCTCCCTGCTATCCTGGCTCCACCAAGCCCGCCTCAGGCCTATAGTTAGAGAGTCCCTGGAAAGGATTCTACGGGCAGATGCTACCGTGGCTTCATGGTCCTGTGGGGGATCAGATGTTGCCACAGATCTCACCGTTTCTTATCACTAATGTCCCTGCTCCAGGAGCCTAAGACCAGCATCAAAGTTTGAATAATCAAAAAGTATATAGCAAAATGGCTAGTGGGCCTTCAAGTACCAGGGCATCAGAGCCGGGTCAGATGCTGCTAGGGGAAGAACAGACTTCCCGCCCCAGAGTCTCCCCTAGCCCACCCTTGGCTCTGAGAACATGCTGGGGAGCTGAGCCTGGGGGCCGCTTCTGCTGGGCGCGTCCAGCACCCTCCTTCAGCCGTGCAGGCTGGGGTTCCCTCGCTGCGGGGGTGGAGTGCCGCTGAGCTCCTGCCCTACGTGTGGATCGGAATCCATAGACAGACTGAGAACAAGTCCCTGGGAGAAAAAGGGATGCAAATTCTAACCTCCACTGTGTTTCGAGAATGAAAAAGCATGTTTGAAAAACTGGGTGACCCCAGACAAAGCCAAACTGAAATGGTCTTGGAAGACACCACAGGGCATGTTCTGAGCCAGATCCTGCAAAACCCAGGTGTCCAGGGGCAGTTGGAGCCTCGGCCCTGCCACCCTGTACAACGCCTTGAGGGAAATGGCTGTGTGTGTGTGTGTGTGTGTGTGCATGTGTGAAGGAGACGCTGAGAGAGCTGCGCCTGGCCCGCCCTGCTGTGGAGGCCCCTGAGGGACAAGGACTAAGAGGCCACAGCAGTTTCTTCCCTCATAGGACTATCGCAGAGGGTTGTCCCATGGTCAGCAGGCACAGGCCACGGGTTCAGGACCTCCACAGGCCTCGGGCTGCCAGGGCCTGGAGAAGTTCAGGTAGCAAGGAGGCCCCAGGACTGGTTCACAAATGTTTGTGAGCAAAACTCAGCGATACTCGGGGGTGAGGCCGTTTGCAGGATGACTGGACTTCTGCAAACGGAGTGGGCTGGGCTCAGGGGCGCGGGTTGTAATATAAGTGTAGCTGGTCTGTGTTCACAGGCTGAGGACGCCTGGGGCCGGGGCGAGCCTCCCTCCGTGTTTCTGTGTTTCTGATCTGTGGGGGTGACCAGCCCGTGGGCTCCCCGGCCCTGCACCAGCCCCGCCTACAGCAAACCCCCCTCCACTTGCTGGAGAGCAGAGTTTTGCTGTGGGGCGACTCTCCCCTCGTGTCGCCATCTGCACGGCAGCTTTCAAGATTCTCCTGCTCAGCGGGGCCACATGGATGAGATCCTCTCCCCTGGGCTAAGTGAGTCCTCTCTGAAGCCACGGGAGGGCCTGTACTGCCCTGGCTTCCAAGGTACCTGACGCCAGGTGGCAAGCGCTGTGGCCACGTGTGAGCCTTCCAGCCTGACACCTGGACCATCCTGGGCGGGTTACTTCTACTGGAACGTGGAGCTGTTACTGCGAGGTCAGTATAGTTTCTACCAGATCTGTCACTCTGTAACTCTGGGATGAACTTGCAAAAGAGCACCCAACAGGCTGCTCAGGGCTCCTTCTCCAGTGCTCAGCCTGGGCGTGGCTTCCTGGGAGGCCCAGAGCTGGGCTCCTTCCCCACTCCAGGCGGGCGGGGGCCACGACAGAGTGGGAAGGAGAGGGCCTGGACGGGTAGGGTGTCTGTGAGCAGGGGTCCCTCCGACTCTTCCCCCACCTTTGATCTGTGCTTTGACCACAGTGGAAATCTACACTCTAGTGGAATGGGTTTGGTTTTTTTTGTTTCTTTTCCCCTAAAACCCTTTGTGCTTTTTTGGTTCCCTAAGTTTCCGAGGAAAAGTTTCTTTTGGAAAATTCCAACTCAGCTTCAGCTAAACAAAAGGGAAAACGGGTTTTTCCACAAGGGGTTCTGGGCTGATAGGGGAACCCAGAGCCCCCAACTGACACTGGCCCGAAAGCCGTGGAGAACTAGGAGCTGGAATGGAGGAAGGAACTCCTGTGGGGGCCGGAGCTGAGGTCAGCCCGGTGACACCTTGCCCTCCCCTCCATCATCTCCCGCTGGACGGGAGGGACTCTCACACTCACTCTCCTTCCAGGACCGAGCACCTGGGTTTCACTGGAGCCCTAATTATCCAACATACTAAGTCAGGTAATAGGATGAACACTCTCAGTGTGGACTTCTATTCCAAAAGGAAAAACCCTCTGACAAGAGTTGGTCCAGGGAATCCTGGAACATTCTTTCCCCTTCTCTCTGCCCACAAGAGCCACTCTGATTTCTTTCTCTTTACCTCTTTCTCTCCCCCGCCCCACCCCCTCTCCCCCTTTCCCTTCTCCTCCTCCTTCAATAAGTATTCAAAGGCTTTTGAAAACTGAGATATAATTCACCCAACATAAAACTCACCATTTTAAAATGTACAATTGAGTGGATTTTAGTGTGTTCACTGTTTCCGGTGGCTTCTTATCCCACTGACATCTTCCTTGGGAGAGAGAGGAAGGGAGCTGGAGCTGAAAGTTTCCTGACAGGTACCAGGCAGCTGGGCCACTGACATCCCAAAGGCGCGTGCCAGCCTGGAGACACAGCCACACCCCTCTCCGGAATGTCAGGGAAATCCTGTCCCTGGCTCTGGAAATCCTGCCATTAATGGGACAGGTGGATTCTCAGCTGAAGTTTTCCAGGTATCGGAGCCTCTTACATCAGTGGCACCAGGGTCAGCCCCTGAGAGGTTGGAGACCCCTGACCCCATGAGGAAGTCAAGCCTTGGGAGTGAGCTGACCAGGACAGGGCCCCAGACTGGGGGTCCCAGAGCCGCCCACCCTCGAAAGAGAGTCCTGGGATACTGGCTGAGACTTCAGGGTCCTATGGCTAAATGTCCTCCTCCTACAGATGGGGAAACTGAGGCCCAGAAACTGGGCCCAAGACCCAAGACCCACCTCTTCTGACTTTGAACTAGAGTAATTCATTCAACAGTAAATAGTCATTGGACACCTCCTGTGGGCCAAGGACTTCCCTGGGTGCTAGACAGGGATGACTGGCAATCCACATGCAGGAAATCCACACACTCCCAGCTCAAGGGAAGGGACCACAGAGGCCTCCAAGCCCAGCGAAGGCTAACCTCGAGAAGAAAGCCCCCAGTAAGGCTCTGCAGCTGCCTCAGAATTTCCATTCCTGATCGTTTCCCTCATCAGGGCCTGTCATCAGCCTCCACTCTGGCCTTAAGTTAGTGGCAGAAGCTTCTTGGGGCAGTGATGGTATGCTGGAAACCGCTCATACCAATTCATAAGAGCTGATTGTCACATTTTCAGGAATCTTGCAGAAATACAACTTATTTTAAAAATTAAATAATATAAACTTATAGCTAAATAACTTACATCAGAAACAAAGGTAATACTCAAAACTCATCACTTCCTAATCATTTTATTACATTTTTTATTACCTGTGCTCTTGGGGTGATTTATGACTCTATTTCTATGAAATACTGTAAGATTGTACATCTCTTCTGTGTTCAGTGATGTCATGTTGTGGCTGGAAATAGGCTATGGTGGGGATATTTATACCTTGGAAATGGACCCCTGCTACAAATGGTTTGGTTTTTCGTTTTTACATTTACCAGCCACCAAAAGTTTCTTTTTCCAGCAAACAAGAATACCCATCCAACCCAGTCACTTATTCAGCCAGCTATACATATATATTGGACTCTGTGTGTGTGTGTGTGTGTGTGTGTGTGTGTGTGTGTAGCAATCTAGTACAGGCAAACCTCATTTTATCACAATTCATAGATATTGCATTTTTTTTTAAATTGGAGGTTTGTGGCAACCTAGTGTCAGAAGATGGTTACTATCTTTTTTGCAATAAAGCATTTTTGAATTAAGGTATGCACATTGTCTTTGTAGACATAATGCTATTGCACACTCAGTGGACTACAGTATAGTGTAACCTTCACTTTTATATGCACTGGGAAGCCAAAAAATTCCTATGACTTGCTTTATTGTGATATTTGCTTTATTGCAGTGGTCTGGTGCCAAACCCATGATATCTCCGAGGTCCACGTGTATTCGGGAGTCTCTGTCCCTTCACGTTTCTGTTTCTGTCTCTTTGAACTGTGATCATTCCTCCTTCTGCTCTTGTCTTCACTTCCTCTTTTTATAGAATGAGCTCAGTGAGCTTTCATGGTTCCTCATTCATGGCTCTGGTCACTTTCTGGTCCCAAATTTTAACACTCCCCCAGCTTGCCCTGGGTACCTGTGAAACATGCAGACTCCCAGCCCCCATCCACAGAGGTTCTGATGCAGTGGGTCTGGGGCAGGAATCTGCACCTGTACCAGGCTCTCCAGGTGATTCTGGGGCAGGTGGTATAAGAACAGCCAAATACTTCCTTGTGTCACTGACAAGCTATAAATAATAGTGTGTTTTTTGTTTTTCCCTCTAGAGAGGATTCATTTCTGCTACTCCATTCCCACTGTCTGTTTGTCACTCTCACTAACGCAGTGGTTTGGTGTTTCTTCTGTGTTAGTGTGACCAGTCCTTGTGAGCCAGATGAATCAACCCTGTGCTCTGATGAGCCAGGCCTTGCATCAGGTGGAGTCTGGATAAGGGGGTTAATGCAAAACCAGAAGTCAGAGCTGTCGTTTGCAGTTTCACCACGTGGTGGCGCCATTGCTCCACTCTTCATTTCTGGTCAGTTTGCTGGGATCCTGAAAGTCCCTATTCAATTTTGCTGATGGTTTAGAGTGAATATTTGTTGCCGTTCTGATATGTTTTTCATCCTCTGTTATAATCTCTGATTCAGGTAGACAGTGACACAATGAGGAGCCTGGAAAGGGGATTGCATTTCGAAATTCTCACCCTCACCACTGGTTTCGGGGACACATTTTGGATAAAGACGGTCCCAAGCCCCAACAAAGACTGGGACCAGTGACAATCTAGTTGGGAGGGAGGGGGGACACACACCTCAGCGTCACAGGGAGTCATTTTTCTGCCTCTCTTTAGGCCCTAAGGCAGAGTTTACACACCCGTGGAAGAAAGAGACCGAAAATTTGTTGATGACCTCCCATGTGCCACACACCTGACGTCCTCACATTGAATCCTCACCATAATCCTGTATTTTATGTCTCCTATGAGGGAAGATGGCAGGCTGGAGGAAAATGAGGCTCAGAGAGATCTCGCCAGATCCCGCACTCTTTCTGCACACAGCAGCATCTCTGCTCACTCACTGATCAAACAGGGATAACAATGCAGATTTGCCAGCGATTCTGTTTTGGACAAATAGATGAGTAGGTGCGCCTCCCCCTGCATTCGGGAAGGAAAATATTGAGCCCCCAGCTGCCAAGCCAGGGACACAGAGATTCACTTCTACTGCCAAGGGCAGAGCAGATTAAAACATAAATGAGAGGAAGGGAAATGTAGTGCTTTTCAATGAATGGCAAACATAGCCCCATCAGCGGCTAAAATCAATGAAGCAACAACAGACGATATCTGAGCCAACCAGGACGAAGGCCCAGAGGCCCACACCTCCTTCAGTGTCCTTAGGACGTCTTCCGTCTCTCTCACACCTGCGGACTCATCACCTGTGCCCCTCACCCCTGCTACCGCCCCAAAGACACTGGAGGGGGCATCCAACAGGAGCTACATGGGGTACGCACAGTATCTATGTCCTAGCTGTCTTGACCCATCTCTTATATCTAATGCAGGCACAGGCAGGGTGGTTCCAGGTTAACTAAGGGACAAAAAGAACTTAAAAGGGGCCACATTTAGGAAGTGCTTAGCGTCACTAGGAGGACAATTAAGTAGGTCTGATCTGGGAGGAAGGAGAATGAGCAAAACTGTGAGAAGTGAGGTGTAGAGGCTGCTGAACTCAGTCTGCCCCCCTCCCCGGCAGGGGGTGGAGACAGTAGGCACGTGGTCCTTTCGGGTGGGCAGCCTAGTTTATTTAAAATGCCTGCTGGGCTCTTTCACCTCACTGGTCTTCATGAGCCACCAGCTGGACACCTGACCCCACCGTGGGTAGCATCTGAGACCAGTGCTGTTCACGCCCCCTTCCTCTGCCTCACAGCAGACCTCTCTCAGGACTCCAGATCCACCTTAGCAAGGAAAACTCAGTTAACTGATGACCAGTTTGGGTGGCATGCTGCTGAGGAACAATTTGATTGATTTGCTTAATACTAAACTGTGGATGTCAAGGTCACGTAACTGCAGCCTGGAAGGGTTGCACTGTGTGGCTTCCCCACGGCCACTCACCAGCTGGGCGTTTGCTGCCCTGGATTGGTTAACAGTCAAATCCAGATGCATTGGCATCCTGTGGACTCTTCCACTGGAACATAAGCTTCTTGAGAGCAGGGATTTTTATATAGAATCTCAGGGAATCCATGGGGGTCCACAGCGCCTAGTACACTGCAGACACAATTCCTGCTTGTTGAATGAATGAAGTTTTTTTCTTCTCAAGGTTTTTTTTTTTTTTTTGGTGATGGTGAGGAGGTAATTAGGCTTATTTATTTGCTTATTTATTTAATGGCGGACCTGGGGATTGAACCCAAGACCTCACACATGCTAAGCACGCCCTCTACCACTGAGCTATATAACCTTCCCCACTGAATAAATGAGTGATGAATGAATGAGGTGCAGGGGTTCATTCTCCCAATGAGATACAATAGGTTCAAAGAAATTTGAGCCTTTTTGGAGAGAAATAGCCTCAGACATTCTTGGCTCCCTGGCTGTGATGGGAAACTCTGGGCTAATGGCCCTGTTCATCTCCTCAGAATGTCCCTACAAAATCCACCGCTCAGAGTCACCTGGGAAGCCCCGTCCCTGAATGCCAACCTGCAGCAGATGTCATGTGATTCTGAAACCATCCCACCTCCACCCAGCTCTCCACCCCCTCCCCCCACCAGCACCTGGCCAGGGAGCTGCTTCCCAGCTCCTGCTTGGGTTCAGGTCAAGATCAGCTCCCAGAAACACGCCTCTCTCCCGGACAGCCTTGCTCTAAATGTAAATCTCTGACAATGAGGAGGAAGAGCCTGGGATGGAAGGGCGGGAGAGAGGGAAGGACAGACCAGAGGGACATCGTGTGGAGACTGGCTGCCCCTACCGGACGCAGGATTTTTCCTTTTCCAGCAAAGGAGGTGGAGTCACACTCCACGGCCTCCCTGGGGGAGGGGACAGCTCCTGCTGGAACCCCTTCACTGTTCAGGTTTCCTCTCTGAGTCTCCAGGTTTCCCTTTCTGAGGATGTTCCTGATGAAGGAAAGGACACCAGACTCTACGTCCTTCTCCTCCAGGTGATGTCCACTGTGCCACTGAATGAATCTAGCAAAGGAGTCTTTTATAAAGTTTTTGATTCTGAAGTGGAATCATTCATAAAAGATTGAGCAACTGTGGAGACCAGAAAACCTAGTCTTTTTAGTTGACTGATGAGGAAACAGAGGCACAGAGATGCTAATGGTCACAGAGCAGGTGATGGGCAGCTAAGACTTGAAATCTCCTGCCCCGCTGCCTAGCCCAGCTCTGCAGGACCACTGCGATGATGCAAAGAGAGATTCTCTCCACCAGGGAGTCTCGTTTCCAAAATGTACGCAGGTTCATTCAGCCTTGCACATAATTCCCCGAAGTGATCAAGTCTGCAAGCGTACTCTATTAGCCAAAGTTGTTAAGGGTCGGCCACATTTACCAATTATCATCCTCTTTCTCTCCCCTTCATTCCCCACCTACTCTTTTCAAGTCCAACCCCCCACACCCCTGCCCAGTTTCCAAATGACTATTTAGAGTTTAGTCATCGGGTCCTCATTCGGACCAATACAAGACTTGTGTCCATGTGACACCAGTTTATGGCTGGAGATTATTTCTGCTCCCAGAGTCAGCACCTCTTCTCCCGCCAGCTTCCCCTAAGGGCGGTGACTCCTGGGAGCTCTGGCTCTGACTTTGTGAACTCCTCTCCCGCTGGCGGTGTGCGAAGTAACCATGGAACAGGTGGCAGCCTGTGCCTTAGCTTCTACAAAGCCAGTAACAAAATGCATTCCTGGAAAAATCTATATTTCAGTAGTCACATTATTTACATTTTTCATTTATTAATCCTATTAGGAATGTTCCCTCCAGGAGTAGAATAAAGGTGGAACAAAAAAGCAAGACAAATGGGCAACTCTTGGGGGGGGACCTCCATTCAAAGGCCTGCTGTTTCTCCTGGGCACAAGCTTATAGATCACCTCTGTGCAAAGAGGACGTCTGACTTGGTGCAGATACGGGAACATCTGTGGCTGAGTGTCTCCTGAAAACCCCCAAGATCCTGCGATATCCCAGCCTAAGGGAAGCTGCCGCCAAACATTTCTTTAGAATTCCGGTGATAGCCGTATCAAATGCGACAGGAAGTGTTGAAAAGACAAAATACGGCTGAATAAATAAGCCGACGGGAAGGCAAGCGGGCATGGGCTGTGCAGTTGGCTGGCTGGTGGTGACCGGCGAGCGGCGGGCTAAACACGGACCTGAATTCCTCAGGAACACGGTGAACGGAACTGCCTTCGTTTCAGCCCCGAGCCCGGCACTCAGTCCGCCCGGGATTATCGCTGGTCCCCGGGGTCGTTGTTGCTGTTTCATCCCCTGTCGAGGAAACACGACCCATCCCTAGGGATCAGCTCTCACGCTGTCTCTTCTGGTAAAGCTTTCCGGCATCTGTGCCGTCTCCAAAGTCCTGCCAAGTTGGGCTTCACTCCTTTTTCCCAATGTTTTAGTCCTCTGCCTACTCTCTGTCCCGTGTTGGACTGTTAGTACCACAAGAACTCTGATTTTAACTCACCCTTTTTACCACCCCCATGGCATACAGCAGGGGCACAATAAGTAAGCCACGCACTCACAGAAGTTGGCGGCCGCCATATTTATTTGTTGGTAGTTTCTGCTTCTTCATATTATAGCTTCAGAGATGGGAGAAAGTTTTTATAAACCAGATATGCACAGGGAAGGGAAATTCTTTTTCTCACTTACCTTCATGCTTTAGCCTTCTGGGATTTTGAGAGAAAGGAAAGGATTTTGGTCAAAAGAAAAAAAAATCAAGAAGCACAACCCGGTCTTGTAATAGAAGGTGGAGGCATAAGTTTCCAAAGTTACAATTTTCTCACCTCCAAGATGAATAATACTTCCTATTCTAACTACCTCGCAGGGCTATCATGAGGCTCAAATAAGATAATATGCATCTGAAAGATCCTTGCTAGTGGGAAAGCATGATACGGGTGTAAGGCATTATTATCCCTTTAATCTTTCTATTCTCATAATGGAGAAAATTTTCCAAAGACAAATTGGGAGCTCATTTCAGGCTCTCAGCTTCCTCTTGCTCCCTGACGCTCATGACAATTAATGCTGCAGGAGAGCCTGGCTGAATTCAGATAAACAGCAGGTGAAACACATTTGTCAACCCTCTAGCTCTGCCGAAATTGGGCAGGATACTCCTGCTGGTCTCTGGGACTCATCACTGGTGGAGGCACCAGTTCACATGAGAACACCACGGACGCCACCCTGGGTGAGACCTTTCGTTTCTCGCATTCCTGTTTTCTGCTTTCACCAAGCCAGCGAGGGTGGTTCTGCAGGAGGGCGTGGTAGTTCTCCATGATCGTAGAACTTGCAAAGTCTGCAGAAGTGAAATTCAGGGAGCTTTGCCCTGACCCTCTGCCCACTCTGGGACTGAGGGACCACTTCCCCCAGATGCTGCGAGTCATGAAGCGGATGGCTCTCAGTGGAGCCCAATCTGGGGACTGCCCTCAGCCTAAGAGATAAGAGAGCCCCCTTTCCAAGGCCACATCCCCTCCCATATCTGGTGATTAGTCAGCGGCAGGGAAGGGTGGCGATAAAGTCCTGGCTATCCTATCTCAAAGTGGGACAACTGTGAAGAGCCATCCCCACTCCAAAGCTCCCCAGAGGATCTGCTGAAAGCTCAGACTCAATTTTATTGCCACCCAACTTCTCCCTTTGCCTGGTCCTCTGTCCCTCACCCTTCACAGGTGATGTTCTTGAAATCACTACTCAATAAAGGTCCTGCGTCCTGCTCTCTGAGAAGCTCCACATAGGAGACCGCTCCGTTTTATGGTGAATGGGTTACTGGTCCACAGGGATTGATGCTCTCAGCCCTTGGAGAAGCTCAGTGGGTCCCGTGTCAACTCATGTCCCCCAGAAAGTTGCCTTGGCCACAAGCAGCATTCTCCATTTACCCAAGGTTGCCAAACAAGCATTATTTTCTAGGTCCCATGATGAGAAAAGGGCTGGGAAGCACGCTCAGAAATAAATCTATTTTAACACAGTATCATTGCCTTTCCAATATCCGTTCCGTCTCTCCCTTACTGACTGAACCCTGATTTTAATTCCAGGCAGTAATTTTCTGAGCTGAAAAACAAAACAAAATCAACCTCCAACATTCCCCAGCCTCCTGTGCAGCCAGGAGAGCCATGCACACGGTTCCTGCTCAGTGGAGAGAAACGGGGATTGGCAACTTCTCTTGTAAAGGCATCTCCCCACTTGCCTGTTGGTCCCTTCTTTGTCTTCCCTGCTGGGATGAGGATGGGAGGCTGGTGACCAAGAGACCCCCATGTTGAGTGTATTCAGTGTCTATTGCTGCATCTAAAAAATCACCCCAAAATTTACCCTAAAGTTACCCCAAAATGTTAAACAAATATTTATTATCTCAGTTTCTGTGGGTCAGAAATTACAGGGACAGGGATCCCTTTGATGTATTCTCTGGTCAAACAGCCCAAATGTGGTACAGCGTGGGCGAGAGCTCTACAAGGATGTGCATTCCAGGAGGCAGGGATCGTCACGGGCCTTCTTGGAGGCTGCCTAGCGCTGTCACCCTCTGGCCCCTGGGATGTGCATTCATCCCAGTTGCAAAATGTATTCCCCCTCTCCCCAAATCTGCAAATGTCTCAGCCCATGACAGTGCCAACATCCAATTCAGAACCTCGTCCTCTAAGTCAGGCCCAGGTGTGGAGGAGGCACCTGGTGGGTAGTTCCCAGCAGGTCGTCCAGGACGCTTCCACCCCCAGCCCAGCTCCCAGCTTCACGGCATTATACGAGCATGTGTCAGGAAGGAGGGAGAAGAAAGATAATCTGGCTGTGATTTCAGTCTGCTCTCTCCCTCCCCATCCACTGCAGGCTAAAACTGGAGTGTGCATGTCTGAACCTGGATGTCCACGCACACACATGCACACTTCCCCCAAAGCACACTGTGAGAAGGGAAGCTCTCACCACGTAGGCAAGCCAGGGAAGGGCGCGCTCGAGGGGGATACCAAAACTGGCATTCTTGCAGTGAGAACAGGAATTCCTATCAGGAATACTGTTCATGAGTGGCTGGTCCAGCAGAAGCCAACTGAGGATCCAACCTCTTCTTCAACCCTCCCTGAAGCTCCCCTCGGGAAGCAGTGATACAGCAAGAGGGGGATGGGGCGGGAGATGCTTAGCAAGCTTGGGATGAGGGGTAGTAAGAGCTGGAGGCAGAAAAGGAGTAATAGAGAAGTTTCTAGGGCAGCATGGCGCCTGTCTTGCTTTAAGCTTCCAAGGTGTTCTGCAAAACAAGGGACACAGAATCACCCCATGGTGAGGTGATCTTCAGATGCTGAATTGCTTAACTGTGATCTGAGGTCCCTCTTTCCTCTCTGGTTGATGGCACATCTTTGGCGTTGACTTCAGAGAACTCTCTCAGGCACGGCCAGCTGAGCACTGTCTTCCTCGTGCTATCTGTGTGAAAAGTCACACTTTACAGGTTCTCAGAGAATGATTCCAGATACTGATAGAGAAGCCAGCCCTGAATACCACTCTGCTGGCTTTGCTGCCTGTGCAGATGTTTCCAGAGATTCAATCACTCTCTGCATTTTCAAAGTTCATGCTGCAAAATTAACATTAATAACCAAATGAAACTCACTTGTTTTTTTTTCAACGGAGGCCACCAATCCAGATTTGAGATTCAACCTTTTTCATCCTGTACCCAAGTAGGAAAAATTTAAGAGCATAAAGCCAGTAGCTGGCATCAAATAACCTTGGTTACTAGTCCCTACCTGATCTTGATCCCTCGTTTACAATAACTGGCCAAGCCTTTGCCATGAGCCCCAGTTCCAGCTGGCTATTAGCCGTGGTTCCAAGGAATCTTCTCCAAGAGTAGGATAACACTTTATCCTTCATCCTCTGAAGATTGATGTTCCATTTCTGAGTCCAAATTCCTGAAGGTAAATTTTGCCTTCTACCTGGCGGTAGTCTGCCCTGGTGTCTACTTGTTCCAGACCTGGAACTTGGGTTTGTTGGAACCCTGACTCTTCCCAGGTCAAGGCTGGTGGTCTTTCCGCTGTGCCCCTCATTTGTCAGACCACTTGTAAGGAACACGGTATTCACAGCTGGAAGGGACTGTACGCGTCATCTGGTTCGACCATTCCAACATGTCTTGGTGACAATAAACTCAGGAAACTATTCAAACAATGCCTCAAATTCAGAGCTCTCCCCTTGTCACGATGAATAAGAATGACTTAGAGTCAATTCAAAAATTTTCTCTCTAACGCCAAGGACCAGGGTCTAGGGATGCAGTTTTCAGATTGCTTGGAAAAGTGTCTGGCTAATGGGTAAAGGAAGGCTGGCCATCTCTGTCCCGTCATGTCGCTCAACACCGGTCCTTGACGCAGTCCTGGTCTGTATTCGTCTGAAATTGCACCCTGACAGCCCAGCCAGCCCACAGGACCCCCGACAGGCTAGATGCCAAACACTTTCGGGGAGGCTGGGGGTGTGGGCATCGTGCATTTTGTAGATTTGGAGAAAGCCTGATCAACTAAATCCGGGAGGCCCAGAAAATGTGGCAGATATGGGGCAAAATGGGATCAACAGAGGCAAAAATAATTCAAAGGATGCCCTGCTGGGAGCCCCCAAGCCTTGCATGGGATGCTACTTGACTGCACCAAAGTCATTTGACCTGGCCAGTCAAGGGTGCAGTAGGTAACGGTGGTGGCAGTGCCTGGGCTGAGGGAGGGAGATGCAGAACCACACGACTCATATGCTTTGGCCGGACCTCTTCTAGAATATTTATCGAAGCAGGTAGTTTGGAGCTATCTAGCCAAGTAGTGTCAAATTACTTGTTGTTCAGCTAGAGGTAAATATCTCCCTGGGAAGGCATGGGGCTCATCAGACACTTTTAGAGGGGTTGGGAGAGGGGGCAGTGAAATTGTGCAAGTCTCAGCCAGTGTGTGGACTGTCAGCACAGAGAGCCCTGATGTCTGGGGGCCAGAAAACTCCAATGGGACCCCAAGCATGGGGGAGACTCCACAGGGCCCCCTGAGAACCACAGGCAGAGCCCGCTCCTCCCCACCGTGGCACAGGCAGGGCATGGGATCGATGGTGCCCGCAGACCGGCAGAGCTTAACAGGGAGAAGCAATTCCAGAAGGAGAGTGCAGGGCTGATTAATGCGCCGCAGCCTTTGAGAAGATTAATGTGTGGACAAGGGGAAACCAATGATTGTAATTTATTTAGACTTTCAAAAAGGCTCCACGCTAAGGGCTATTTTTAAAAGTCACCATGGAATCTGGGTTTTAAAGGACTCGCTTTTTGAGGTTAACGCCAGCAAGACACCCACATTTTCCAGCTGCCACTGCCACAAAGTATGGATGACTCGTGACTTTTACCCTGTGTGGCATTTCTAAGCAGATTCCCACCTCCTCTGGCCCCTCCAGAAGCAATTTTGACTCCCTCCCCTCTGAATTTCCATCCAGTCCTCTCTTACTTAACACTTTTCACCTTATGTGTAATTCTACTTGTGTATCTCGCCCCTCATAGACTGGGACCCACCTGGGGACAGGGGCAGAGTCTTACCCATTTTTGCATCCCATCCGGTACTCTGACTAGGAGCTCCTCTCCCTGAGTAGGGAAAACACAGTGACCTCAGACCCAGCAATCTTATCCACTACAGTTTACACCTGGGGCTACGTCCCAAGCACCTCAAATTTGGCATGGCCAGCCCTGCAGCCATCATCTCCAGCCCTGTCACACACAGCCACTCCTCCATGTCCCCTCTCAGTTAGTCGCCTTGCTCCCACCCAACCTGGCAATACCCACTTCTCTTCATCCTCACTGCACCCACCATATTGGGGCCCTCACTGCTGCATCTGTATAACAACACTTTCCAACTGGTCACACCTTTCAAAGGCCAGTGTGCAGGGCTCTCCCTGTCCCTGCGCAATTTCCTCTCCAGCCTCACCTTTGTGCCACCTTCTGTCCTGTGTGTGCCAAGCTGGAGCCACTACCAGGTGGGGGTCCCTGTAGGTCCTTCGCACACCCGGATAACTCCTGCTGTCCTCTGATTACCTCCCACTCTTCCTTGTCCTCACTTCTTCCAGCTTCTTCTTGTAGTGAAATATTTCATTACAAGAATGAATGAATGAGCACATAGCAATTGCTTTTCCTATGTGCTCATTCATTCATTCAACATTTCTTGAGCAGCTACTATGAAACAGGCATTTTATTAGGCAAGGGTGATAGAATAGTGAACAGGACTGATGGTCACTGTTTTCACAGAGCTGAGCATCTAATGAGGGGCAAAGACAATTTTACAAGGAAGTATAAAAAATATAGTAACTGTTAGAATGAATGCCCCCATCTACCACAGGGCCTTTTATATGCTATTCCCACCCCCTGGTAAACTCTCTCTCCCCTTTGTCTAGTACTCCTCCAGGTTAAACTCAATTAGTTCCCTTAGGCTAGATCAAATTCCTCTCCTTTATGCTTTTGTCACATTTTGTACTTCATAAAAGCATTTAACACAATTATAATTGTATATGTATTTGTATCACTGCTTGATTAATGGCGACTAACTCCTCTAGCCTGTAAGCCTTGGAAATGCTGGGCCAGGCACAGTTTGCTCACCATGATAAACCTGGCATGACAGACACATACCAGGTATTTGTTGTAAGATGAAATGCTAGGGAAGTGAACAGCAGTCTCCCATCTGCTTTTTCAGGGGGTTAGGCAAAGCTGCCCAGAGGAATTGATAAATCAGACATCCTGAAGAGAGTGCAGGAATTAGGCCAAGAGCAAGTGGGCAGTAAAAGCGTTCCAGGCAGCAAACACAGCATTGGAAAGACTCTGTAGCTGGAAGGCTGGTGTTTTTAAGCACTTGTTTCCAGAGTAGGGAACTTATTCCCCAAGGGGTGCACAAGAGAACCCTTTAGGAAGCAGGAAGAAAATATTCATTTACTTATGCTGAATTTTTAATCTAACTGAATAAGAAAGAAATTAAGCTCTCCTATTATCTAATAAACAGGCTGAAGCCAGCT